ATACATGGAGATCATATCCCCCTTATGTATTATACATGGTGATCATATCCCCCCTTATGTATTATACATGGTGATCATATCCCCCTTATGTATTATACATGAGATCATATCCCCCCTTATGTATTATACATGGTGATCATATCCCCCCTTATGTATTATACATGGAGATCATATCCCCCCCTTATGTATTATACATGGTGATCATATCCCCCCTTATGTATTATACATGGAGATCATATCCCCCCTTATGTATTATACATGGAGATCATATCCCCCCCTTATGTATTATACATGGAGATCATATCCCCCCTTATGTATTATACATGGAGATCATACCCCCCCCTTTATGTATTATACATGGTGATCATATCCCCCCTTATGTATTATACATGGAGATCATATCCCCCCCTTATGTATTATACATGGAGATCATATCCCCCCTTATGTATTATACATGTAGATCATATCCCCCCTTATGTATTATACATGGAGATCATATCCCCCCTTATGTATTATACATGGAGATCATATCCCTCCTTATGTATTATACATGGAGATCATATCCCCCCTTATGTATTATACATAGAGATCATACCCCCCCCCTTATGTATTATACATGGAGATCATATCCCCCCTTATGTATTATACATGGAGATCATATCCCCCCTTATGTATTATACATGGAGAACATATCCCCCCTTATGTATTATACATGGAGATCATATCCCCCCTTATGTATTATACATGGAGATCATATCCCCCTTATGTATTATACATGGAAATCATATCCCCCCTTATGTATTATACATGGAGATCATATCCCCCTTATGTATTATACATGGAGATCATATCCCCCTTATGTATTATACATGGAGATCATATCCCCCCTTATGTATTATACATGGAGATCATATCCCCCCTTAATCTCCTCTTCTCAATAGAGAATAAATTCAGTTCCTCTAATCTCTCCTCATAGCTGAGCTCCTCCATGCCTCTTATCAGTTTAGTTGCTCTTCTCTGTACTTTCTCCAGTTCCCCAATGTTCTTTTTGCGAATTGGTGCTCAAAACTGAACTGCATATTCCAGATGAGGTGTTACTAATAATTTGTACAGGGGTAATATGATATCTCTCTCTCTGGAGTCTATACCTCTTTTAATATAGCTAGGTAGGCTTGAGTCTGCTTTACACCCATCAGGACTCTCACGCCTGTGGGGCATCAGGGAGGAGTTATTCCTCTTCGGGAGGGACCATTTGACACAACCATAGTGTGTATGCTCACATGCACTTTTTTGGCTCACTTTGGTGTTTTGATTTTGTGCACCACACCACAGACTTGAAAAATTCATAGCTAGTCATTTGGTTTATTCAATAGAAGAAAATAATAAACAGAAAACCTCCATATACAGTACCTTATACCCACAGTTGATACAGAGGAAGAAAAAAAGTCATAATTGAGCAAGGCCCATAAGCACCTTTTGTATAAATCCTGACATGTCATAAAGAAGAGGCACTCCGCATCGGCGTAGATGGTGGCATGTATTAATACATGCACACCTGGGCTCAGATTGGCTGCCATCCAAGGACTTGTAATACAATACAGCTTACTCTGCAAAGCCACAGGCCTTTCAGGCTAACAATACAAGCTGGAAAGAGACGCTAGATTCCATTTACCGGAGGAATAAGGTACGCTGGCAGCCGAAGAGGTGGTGTTTCCCGCAAAGAAAACCGGATAGACCGAAAAAACAAGAAGACGAGATGCAGACTACTCCAACTACAATATACTAGTAAGATAAGTTAACGTGAACCCATCACCTATACAGCAAAGTCCAGGGTATACTTTTCACATGTGCTATTAAATACTATTACATTTATTTTTTTATGTAAACCGTGGAAGTACCTGTATTTGGCCTAGTATCAGTCTCTTGCAGGCTACTTTACAGCAGAGCTCAGACCAGGGGAGGTAGAAGCAGCAATAGGAGGGAACGGCGTGCTACAGTGCTCATGTGCTAACAAAGAATATGAATGCTGATAGGAGTAGAGAGCAAAGTGACAGAGGGATGGGCTCATCAGTCTGCTGCTTCTCCTTTCACTGGGGGAAGGGCAAGACCTGCGAGTGTTACTGAACTGAAGTGAAAAACAAACACGCCTCCTGCCCAGGCAGACAGAACTGTGCTGTGTCAGAACCAGGGGCGGACTGACCATTCGGGGGTCAGTAGGGGGCCCCATGAAATGCCGCTGGTACCTTTTATAGGTTTTTTTTTGGGTGTACTTTGAGTGTGGGTAAGGACACAGGGGCCCCATGATCCCCAATTTTCCGGGGGCCCCATGAGTTGTAAGTCCGCCCTTGGTCAGAACCAGGGGCAGACTGACCATTTGTAAACTCGGGCATTGCCCGAGGGCCCGAGGTCAGTAGGGGGCCCCATGAGATGCCCCTGGTACCTTTTTCATAGGCTTTTTTGAGTTTGGGCAAGGACACAGGGGCCCCATGATCCCCTATTGCCCGGGGGCCCCATGAGTTGTCAGTCCACCCCTGGTCAGAACTATTTCATTTTCAGGACTGGATGGACAAACACAAATGCTTCGGCAGACAAAGCAGATCTCATATGTGTAGTTAATCTATTTAGCTGTTTGCCTGCAGTTAGCTTTAACAGCAGACATAGCTGAATGATGTCCTGTAGACACTGAGACTGATATATGATAGTGGCTTTGCCTGAGTTTGGTTTGGCTCCTTCAATGTTTTTTTTTTTTTGAGAAATGAGATGGATGTTTCCAGAAAAAAAATCAATCCGCAGTTCTAACCGGAAAACCTGTCAAGGAAAGTGACTCCATTCTGCGGTACTTTCAGAGCACTTGAATACAGCTAGTGTTTCAGTAAGTAACTGTATGACCTTAGTCTATCATTAAGGGCCTATTCCACCCTTTCATAAAATTGTCTGGTCAGAGAAAATATTCCGAGAGGTCAGCTACCTGAGCTTACTCAGCTGACCTAGACAGGTACACAGGTCCATCAGGTGGAGATGAGCACCTCACAGCAGCAGGAAAGCCTGGAAGAGCTTCATGCTATGGTGCTTAGGTAGTGTGGTAGGCCCATTTCCTTCGTATCTCCTCGATAGTAGGAGAATAATTCTGGGGTCCTAGATAGGGCTGGTACCAACCTGGTCATCAAGTGGCTGATGGCTTTCAGTGTTTTCCGGGGACCCATGGGTATAAATGGAACAGACTATAGACTGGCTCCCTCGGTAGTGTGGTAGGTCAATATCCTTAGTTTCTTTTGTTGGTCAAAAGTGGGAGAATAATTCTGGGCCCTAAAAAGGCAAATAGATTTGTAGTTCCTGTATTCGGACTGGTGCCAACCTGGCAATCGTGGCTGATGGCTTCCAATGTTATTAGGGGAGCAATGGCTATAAAAGGAACAGGCTATAGACAGCTTCTCTCTGTAGTGTGGTAGGTCCATTTCCTTTGTATCTCAAGTTGGTTGATAGTAGGAGAATAATTCTGGGGCCCTAGATAGGAAATTACGTTAGTATTTCCTGTATTGAGATTGGTGCCAAACTAGATATCAAGTGGTTTCCAGCATTATCAGGGCTAAATGACTATTGTTCTTGATCTCCCAAGCTCTCCAGGGTGGGGAGACCTCTGTCAGGTTTTATTGTCATCTATGTCCCCATTGGTTAGGATTACCCTCTCCAATTGTCCTGATGACAATTGTTACCAGTACAGAGAGTGATCCTAAATTTTAGAGATGTCACCAAAACACGAATAGAGGGAACTTGTCCAATCCAATCTTTCCAATCCTCCAACTGTTTTGGTGGCAACTGTCTAAATGGGATTTCTCCTTAGTTTGGAAAGATTTACACTCACTTCCTGTGGTGTCTCTGGGACAGGAAGTGAAGGGAGATCTCTGCAATGGGATACAGACAAAAACAATTTATGGAAAGTTAAAACACTATAAGTAAGCATTTCGAATTCTTGAATTTTCAGTCCTTTGACTTCCACCTTTTAGGTTATTGGCAGGGTCTCTTTAAGCACCCTATGCATTTTAATGCAGATGCTGCAGTTCACGTGCACAGGTAAGTTATATGATGGGTGGATGTGCACTCTCTGTTGTGTGATGCATTGATGGGCTGTAGGGCCTACTGATGGCACCAGAATAAAAACTACAGATTGTTGAGAACACATGTCAAAACGCATGAAAATCCACATGGAGAGGTATGAATCCAGCCTAAAAAAAAAAAAGACACTTATAACAGCCAATCCCTTTCCAATGTTCATCTATTTGGAGGACTGGGCTCTCGCCACCTCCGGAATAAACCTTGAACAGTATCCACATTAACCTGAAACCAATCCTAGATTTACCTCTTCCTTTCCATCACACAACCTACTAAACGAGCAGATAAAAACCTATTGAGAATGTTGTCTCTTCCAAAACAACATCTCCAAACATAATAGAGAACATAATGGTCTCATAGCAAAACTTTTCCACATGTGGAAGTCTTAATGCTGCAATATTAATAGACAAAAAAAAAATAACATTGTCAACAGCTGAACACAATGCACAAGGAAAAATGGCATCTTTTTGTAGGTTCTACCGCCACCAGAACAGACCAGCAAACCAACAAATACAAGGTTATATACTAATAGTCCAGATACAATTTTATTCCAGTATAGAGTCAGAGAACAAAATCAAAAAGAGGAATTCAACGCGTTTCGGGAGTCCAGAACACACCCCCTTCATCAGGGTTTGCATTAAGAAATAATGTCTATGGACTGAATTATGGGTGCAATGTAAGGATGTAATTCCACGCCTGGGATACCCACTTCTGTGTACCACTGCCCATAGTACTGAATGGCCATATGGGGGTTTACACCACTACTTACTTAACCCACGCATGCATACAGCTTTATGCGTGTAATGGAGTAAACCTGCACACAGCCATTCATTACTATTGGCAGCTGTACATAGCAGCTGTATATCCCAGGTGCAGAAATACTCCCGCACGGGGCGGACTGACAACTCATGGGGCCCCCGGGCAATAGGGGATCATGGGGCCCTTGTGTCCATGCCCAAACAAAAAAGCCTATGAAAAAGGTACCAGGGGCATCTCATGGGGCCCTCTACTGACCCCGGGCCCTCGGGCAGTACCTGAGTTTCCAAATGGTCAGTCCGCCCCTGCTCCCGCAGTTTAGCTGTATGCCTTGGATGCAGACTGTATGCGGGCTGTATGCTCATAAATATATGGCCATAAATTATATATATATATAATTAGTTTATTTATTGATTTAAATTAATTAATTATATATATATATATATATATATATATATATATATATATATATGTTATTATTATTATTGATTTAATTTATAAATATTAACAGTATTACAGATAATGCTGTACTTTGTCCCTATACCACCAATATATTCAAGAGCAATGTATGAGTATACATAGAAAGCAAATTCATGTTTCATTAACTAGCAGGAAAAGACCTTTCCAGAGGAGCTAGCAATCAAAAGGGCCAGTTTTTATTGTGTGTGGCCTCTTATCATCATGGAAAAGTTGGCAATGTCTGAACCAGTCTGACCTTGTAATCAAGCACTTAGGGCCTATTCACACTTTTGCAAATGCTTGTTGCCACAAGGTAGCATACCTGCTCTATGTACATTGTGGTGCAGTTCATTGTGAGTGATCCTCCTAATGCAGTCCAACACACCGTAGTGCACCACTGTGCATATACCGTGACCTGCAATGCAATGCATTTTTTTTTATCCTTTGACTTGCACACGGAATGAGCTGCCTTAACGCAACATGGCAATGTGTACCACAACGTGTTTTAACCCACCATGATGGAGCACTTAGGTCTGAATGGGCCCTTGGTCCAGTCTTCATTATCATGTACAGACTGGCTCGGAATTCTTCCTCATTCTACCAATGGGACCTACCTCTTTTTCGGACATGTACAGCTGGTCTCCCCTGATCACCACATAGCGGTTTTTCCAGATCTCTCGGAAAATCCCTTTTCCGCAGAACTTCCGAATCCAGCCTACTTTATCCGGCTGGCTGGGTGGTTGGTTCCCATCCAGGAGGCCCTAGAGAGAAAAGGAGGCAGGTAAGCTAGGCAAAATTTTCAATTGCTCATTCCACATATCTTGCTGTAACACCTGTGCAGATATAAGAAAATGCATTGAAGGCAGAGGAGCATGTTTATACAAAAGTATTGTATTAAAGTGGAACTGTCATTGGGGGGGAACATGGAGGCTGCCATTGCTGATCACCTAATGCTAGGTGAAAGGTCGCTGCAGCACCCACTTATACACACAGCCATTTTTAATGCAGGAACGTGTACGTTTGGATTGTACACTTGCATTCTGGATAGCACAGCCTGTCTCTCTTCTCAGCCAAAAGTAAAAAATATAAGTCACAGTTTAGCTCTTCTTTCTGTGTTTAATGTGTCAAAAAAAGACTGCATACATTGAAATCTCCATCCAGAACCAACCTTCCTTGATGCGTTTTGCCACTGCTGGCTTGCTCACAAGGATAGAGAACTTCCCCTATCCTTGTGAGCAAGACAGTATTGGTGAAACGCATCAAGGAGGGCTCAGTTACTGTCACACTGCAAAGATGGCCTCACAATTGTGATTGTATCTCTACAGTCAACTGAATTGTACAATTTTCTTTAGGACTCATTCATTTCCGGTGCATTGAGCTGCATTGAGCTCAATGCAAGGACACTCGGGAAACAATTGTTCTCTACGTGCTCAGTTCACACTCTACTAGTGTGTTGCATAAAAGTGCAAACCCAATACGCTTGTCATGATACAAAAAGGTAGAATTTTGACTCTTGATGTGGCATGTACAGAAAAAAAGCACTTTTAAAAACTAATATCAATGCGCAGTTAGGGCCCATTCAAATCTTGGAATTCAAGGAACACATTATAGGAACAATTTACCAATGAGGACGTTCATGTCTATGTGTCTATTTTTTGGGGCATTTTGCGCTGTGAGGCCCATACAAGTCTATGGCAATGCATGAAGACATGCATATAATGCGTTTTATTGCATTTTCATGCGTGGCCTGGAAGTAGAAAGTTCACAACACTGATGTTACTAGAGGAAATCAATCCCGGTTGGCCAAACTACAAAATACATTTAAATTTGAATTAATGCATCAAAAATGAACTGCTTCACTTAGCAATTGGAAATGCATGTCAATGTGCAAAGACGTACATTAAAAAATGGACAAAAGCAGACATGGCGTACCTAACTGTATATATAATGAATGGACTGTTGAGACAGATCTTCATACTGAAGAAGGAGCGACCACTGTGACCAAAAAATGGGAACAGATATTTGGGTCTAAATGAGCTCTGGGTTTTATGGGTAGAACTGTCTCGGACAGTCCTCATTAGCCTACCCTGGATTACAACAGTTGGAGAATGAAAGATTGAATCTGTTTCTGGACAGTTCCTTCTCCAGACCAACCAAAAGAAAAACAGTACTGAAAGATCCAGTTGTGTCAAGTGAAAACCTGAATTAACCGTAGCCCTCTGCATGAGCATACCACCAGTAACAGAACCATTCTCTCTATACAGTACATACACCAGGGCCTGACTCCAACATCCACAGGGATCCCTTGTCCTAATTACAAATTATTAACTTCAATAAACCAGCGAGGACAGCTCCGACATGTCGTATGTCATCCTTCATGGCCATCAAAGTGCATGCAAATACAGCAGCTTTTCCTATGTAAATGGTGTGTAGAGTAATAAATGCAGGACAATTATGCTGTCTTCTCTGTACAAAGCGAGAACACGTCTCATCTTTAGAATATTCTTTAATGGATGCATCTGAATGATGGCAGTATCCAGCTTTTTTCTTTAAAGGGAGATCAAATGGCCATTGCACTAACATTTCTAAAAAACTACACAGAACCATCTGCCACAATTTAATTCCTTTATAAGAGACTCTTGGTAGGGGCAAAGCCCTGCAGGAAACCTAGCTAAGAAAAGCTACTCTACAGGAACCATAATTGAGAAAGGTTGTTCTAGTGGAACCCTAGTTGAGAAAGGTTGTTCTAGTGGAACCCTAGTTGAGAAAGGAAACTCTAGAGGAACCCTAGTGCAGAAAGGCAACTCTAGAGTTACCCTAGTTTTGAAAGGCAGCTTTAGAGGAAACTTAGTTGATAGAGGCAGCTCTAGAGGACCCTGCAGGCTGGATGGAATCCTGGTTGAGAAAGACTGCCCTACAGGAACCCTGGTTGAGAAAGGTTATAGTAAAGGAATCCTGATTGAGAAAGGCTGCTCTAGAGGAACCCTAGTTGACAAAGGCAACTCTAGAGGAACCCCAGCTGAGAAGGCAACTTTAGAGGAATCCTAGTTGAGAAAGGTAGCTTTAGAGGAACCCTAGTTGATAGAGGTGGCTCTAGAGGAACCCTTAGGTCTTTTGGAATCCTGGTTCAGAAAGACTTCTCTACAGAAATCCTGGTTGAGAAAGGCTGCTCTAGAGGAACAATAGTGTTCCACGGAATCCTGGTTAAGAAAGGCTATCTTAGAGGGACCCTAGTTGAGAACGGCTGCTCTAGAAGAATCATAGTTGAGAAAGGCAGCTTTAGAGGTGCCATAGTTGATGGAAGCAGCTCTAGAGGAATCCTCAGGTTCGATGGAATCCTGGTTGAGAAAGACTGCCCTATGGAACCCTGGTTGAGAAAGGTTATACCAAAGGAATCCTGGTTGAGAAAGACTACCCTATAGGAACTCTAGTTGAGAAAGGCTGCTCTAGAGGAACTCTAGTTAGTTGAGAATGGTTGTTCTAGAAAACCCCTAGTTGCGAAAGGTTGTTCTAGAGGAACCCTAGTTGTGAAAGGCTGTTCTAGAGGAACCCTAGTTTAGAAAGGAAACTCTAGAGGAGCCCTAGATCAGAAAGGTAGCTTTAGAGGAACCATAATTGATAGAGGCAGCTCTAGAGGATCCCTCAGGTTTGATGGAATCCTGGTTCAGAAAGACTGCTCTACAAGAACCCAGGTTGACAAAGGTTATGCTAGAGGAATCCTGGTTGAGAAAGGCTGCTCTAGAGGACCCTTAGCATTCCACAGAACTCTGGTTAGGAAAGGCTATGTTAGAGGAACCCTACTTAAGAAAGACTGTTCTAGAAGAACCATAGTTGAGAAAGCCTACAGTGGAGGAAGCTCACATCAAGTAATTTTTTTATTCAACCCACTGGTTGAACAAATCAAATGACAAATATATGGGCTGCTTTTGCTTTCACGGAACCCTGGCTGAGAAAGGCTACGCTAGAGGAACCTTAGGGTTTCACAAACCCTGATTTAGAAAGTCTGACCTACGTAATCACCTGTCTGCATCTCCAGAACTTTTTTTTAATAGTACATGTTTTGTCGAAAAAAATATTCTGTTGCTGTTTTTAAGCTGAATATACACACCTTACAATCAGGATTTGCACTTTGGCACCCTAATTGAAAAACTGGTTTCATTTAACATGCTGGAAAATAATTTTATAAGATCTAAGCAGGATGCACCCTTTGTATCATGATTGGACAATTTTGCTAGGTGGCAATCAGAATCTTTGTCTAGTGCATTAATCTTACAATCACCAATGAACTGCATGTTTATTGCTGGATGTGGTATCTATACATGGAAAATACAATGAAAATATTAGTGGATTACAAGAACAGATTGTATTGTACGTAGCCAGCTTCAGAGATCATTTCTGATTGGATGAAATGAGTTTTTGTGCCAACTGACCTTGCGTTGCACTCTGAATATATCTGAATGAACCTCACAGAGTATCTGTTCTAGAATCTGCAGCTTTCTACTGGGCCTCAAATGCAGTTGGTAGCTAGAGGGAGAAGCTTGAATTTGACTGGTTCCTCCAGGCCTCTTTGAAACAATTCTTTCCTCAGGCACATTGATAAATGAAGCTCATTATCTCTTTATCAATATATTTAACTACAATCCAGGTACACAAAGCAAAGTACAAGACAGTCTATAAAAGCCAACGCTGCTCTCGATTTTCAGGATTGCTCACGGTAATGGTTGACACCTCTCCCACAGAGTGATAACAAGCACCTCCGGCAGTTGGAGGCTTTAGGTATTGACGGGGAGCTTTTCAAGCTCTTCGGAAAATCTCCCTTCAAGCAGGCCTGATGCTTGTATCTTCCATGACCTAATGCTGACCCAACACATGCAAATCTCTAAGGGATCTCAACCAGATTTCCATCATAAAAATGACTAAAAGCAACCCAGCACCATTAATCGCTGCACTGTTCCAATGCGCATGTGAGCCTCGCACGCCTGCTA